TTGCTTGGTTCTACATTTTTAAACAGCTGGGTAGGATCGAAAAGTAAATCAGGACCGAAAATTGCACAGTGCTGATTGGTTATAAATGTGCTTTTGTGGAAGTATTGTTCTTTGATGATTAATTGTAATCTGTGTTTTCTCACTATGGGTTTTTGGAAGTTAAAAAGAAATATGGATAGATTTTCTTAAATAAGACTCAAGGAAAGACTTCTACATTCACTAACGAATACGATAAGAACTTAAATTGGAAGGAAATGGTAAGTAGTAAGAAGTAATTCCTATTTTTGCACACTTGAAATAGGTAAACAAACCAATATGTGTGTTGTTGACAGAATGCAAATAAGGCATTTGATCGCATAGCAACGGGATGCATTTTGGCACAATTGGTTTATACCAAGCCGTTTGGGACTTGGGCGAGAACAATAAGTTTGCCTTGTTTGTTTATTCTGAAGCAAAACAAGATGGAGTCATTCGAGTTTACATCTGCTGTTCGTGGCTATCACATCTACAAAGAGATTTGGGAGCCAAATGTCGGAGACAAATTTGTTGCTCTAAGAGAGTTACATAATCAGTGCGACAAATATGCCATCAAAGTGCTAAATGGTGAGGAAACAGTGGACCATCTACCACGGGAATACTCGAGAATAACGTGGTATTTTCTCGCTCGTGGAGGATCGATGTCTGTTGAAGTTACTGGCCGTTGTCGACACTGCAAACAGCTTTGCGCGGGAATGGAAATTCCATGTTGTGACGTTTTCCTGTTCGAGAAAAGTGACCATAAACCACTTGAAGGATCTCCTAACGAAGAAGGTTTAACGCTTCAAGTGGCGACAAATGTAAGCTCTACAATAAGCTTACACTTGCATCAACAATGGCTCTTTTAGGAGCCACCAAACTTGGAAAAGCAACGACCAGTACTCCCTTGTAGTTTTATGTAATGTTTATTTACATACTTATCCATAAAGTGTCAATTCACTGAGATTTACAGCACCTTTTCCAAATGTTCCCGCAGATAAGCCGCACCCCCGATTTTGAGCGACGATTTTTGGAAAAAAGACGCGGCTTATCTGCGGGTCTTTGCGGTATGTTTTTGTTATTGGCCATTCAGATTCGTGTAGTTTAAGGAAGTCCAGTCCCTTTTGCCATTTACTGTTTATGTTGATATTGTCTGGTTTACTTCCTCTTGTTAACAAATCAGCTACGTTAAATTTGCTTGGGGTCCAGTACCAGTCTTTAGTATTGGTTCCCTCTTGGATCCCTTCTACCTACACTGCTGCGAAGGTATTGAATCCATAGGATTCTTTTTGGATCATGGAGTGAACGATTTGAGAGTCAGTGATGTGATAACATTTCTTGAAACGGTATCTGCATTACTCTGCTATTGTGGTTTGTAATCTGTTAACACTGCACACAGAGCTCTATCCGGTCGATTGATAGTTTCTTGGAAGGTGTGAGGCGGTTTTTGGACAAGATAGGGTTGATTTTGTCGTCTCCATGAAGAAGTCTCCATCTAGCATAACCACATGCACCATATGCATCATTAGATCCGTCGTTGAATATTATGAGGATTGGATTTCCTGTGGCTTCTTTAGGTTTAATTCATCGATTGACTTTAATCTTTTCCATGTCACTTAGATCCTGGAAGAAGTTAGCCCAATTCTGGTGATCTTCTTCGGGTATAGGATCATCCCATTCCAATTTTGGGTGGTGAAGCCACAATCGTCTCATGAGAATCTTTACCCTGACGGTCAGAGGACCCGCTAATTCGAGTGGATCATAAACACTATTTACTTGTGATAGAATTATCCTCTTCGTTAGAGTCTTGGAAGCATTAGTAGTCGTCCCTTGATTTTGTTTGGGGCATCGTTTCTTGCTTTTGGGTGTGATATTAAGCTTGACTTTGAAGTAGACGTTATCTGTAATTGGATTCCATACAACACCAAGTACTTTCTCATGTGCTGTTTTCATGTCTGTTGGTATAAGTTCCTGGTCTGGAGCAATATTGTCATGTGAATATATCCATTCCTTTATTTTGAAGTTTCTGTTACTCAAGATGGTTTCCATTTCATTCGTGAGCTTTTTGGCAGTTTCAATGTTGTCAACGCTATTAATGATGTCATCCATGTATGTGTTGTTTATGAGTAGCTCAGATGCTTTTGGATAATTTTCTTTAGCCATCTCTGCTGTTTTTCATAGTGCTACAGTTGCTATAGTTCCAGAAGGTTTATCTCCAAAGGAAACCCTCTGAATAACATATGTGTCTGGTTCTCTAGTTATTTCCATATCCCTCCAGAGGAAGCGGTGCGTGTGTTGTTCTATCACTCCGGTTCTGACTGTGTGATACATTTTCTTGATGTCACCGATGAATGCTATTTCATTCTCTCTAAATCTGATGAGTATTCCTAGTAGACTGTTCAAAAGGTTGGGTCCCTTAGCCCAATATTCGTTTAATACATGACCCATGTAATTGGCACTGCTGTTAAAGACAGTTCTCAAACTCATTAATTATTCATGAGCTGATGACCCAATCAGCTCGCATCAATTGGGTCAGGTGCATGTATGTTGATACCCAATGAACATACCGATC